GTTAATAAACATCATTAAAATAAAATATTTTTCAATATATTTTTTTAACTGAAAGTCTGTTTTACTATTTTTCATCAAATAATTGAATAAATAATAGCAATATTTTAACTAGTTTGGTTTTTACGAGTTGATTTCGGTAATGAAAAGTTGATTTCGGTAACTTTACCGAAATCAAGTTGATTTCGGTATCGTAACGTACCCGACCAGACGGCTATGAACGAAGCTATCCGATTATGTGGTTCCCAAACTTAAAAGCGCTGCGCATTTTGCACACGGCAAAGCTGGGGCCACATAATCGGATAGCTTCGTTCATAGCCGTCTGGTCCATTGAATTTATCGAAAGATTTTGTCGTTGGAAAAAAACGGCGATCATCTTGATGTTTATATCGCCTGCTGCGTAGTTTATATTGACGTTGAAGTTTAAATTGATCATCATCGTGAAAAATTATATCTTCTGTGTCGATTGACCAAAGGATTATGTGAAAATATTGGAAATGGAATAAAATACATGGTGATTATGACGGTAGGGGTGCGGATTTTTTCCGGCGAACATTTTTATCTTGTGTATTATTATAGTTGTTGAAATATGATTTTTTTTCAAAACGGCATATATTAAGATTTTTTGATATATATGATCAGTACATGTGCTGGGATTGACAAATATGCATTTTATTTGGATTTTAAAGGCGTTTTGAGCTCCAAACCCCAAGTATCTGTGGCTGCAAGATAATAAATACATGTACATTTATTTTGTGATGCATTTTTCTATAGATAACTTGCATAATGCTTGTCTACTGCAACTTTAAATCTTGAAAAGAGCTTCTGAATTAATGATTGTAACATTTAAATATGACCTTGACCTCAAAATGACCATTACCTTTAAGGTCAATTTTTCAAAATTCAGAAAATTTCACCATGATTTAAACTTGAAAACAGATTTAGAAAAGTAGGCATATGTGATTTAAGGTGGCACGATATCTCAGTTGGTTAAACCACTGATTATCACTCTTGAGGTCCCGTGTTCGATCCTGGGTTACACCCTTGGGATTTTTCAGAGACCCTTTCAGTGTTTTTCACCTACCTAGAGGTGTACTGGTAAGAAATCCAGGTAATCCTCGCATGTATCAGTGCTATACAGTGGGCATGTAAAAGACCAAGGGGTCTATTCAATAAGAGCTAGGAACTGGTTCCTGGACTCCCTTGTATCTCATAGCTGTCTCTTTAATGTATACAATGTATACCTGCTTAGAGTGATCGTAAAGCAGTGTGATGTAGAAGTAGAAGTTAAGAAAACTTTGTATTGATACATGTATATATATTTTGATTTCATTCAAACTCAGACTTACAAGAATTGTGTATTTTCATAGATTAGTTTGCTTTAATATTTCTAAGTACTTCATTTATCAGGTTGGTTACAACAAAAGAGAATGACAAGAAAGTGTCCATCTATTCAATTCATTCCAACCCTATCAATTCCAACGAGTTCTGTTTGGGTGGTAGAGATCACTTTGTACGAGTGTATGATAAAAGAAAAATCAATGAGGTAATTATCATTTTGATTATTTCAAAAAAGGTGTTTGTTAATTTTTCATTTTATGTCAAATGTATGTTATGGCTAAGAGCATTGTTATGCTGAATTGCTAAATAAATTCTGCTGTTGTTTAAGGGGACCCGCAAGAATGCACTTTAACACGTCTAATTCATTTCTGCGCACCATTTTATATACGAAAATGAAGAAAAAAAGTAAGAATCAGCACACAAAAAAGGCAATATTTTTAACCAGGTTTTCCGAAGGAAATATCTGGTTATTAGATTGAGGTATGTCGGCGGGCGGACGGGCGGGCGCAACTCCTCCTACATTTCTCAACAGATTTTGACCAAACTTTCACAGAAGCTTTGTCATCAAGTGCCCTGGTGCATATTGTCAGGGTTTTGTGATTGGATAACATTTGACCTAATTATGGCCCTTTGTTTTTTTCCCTTATATAGAATATATAGTGAACAATTTTTTCTGTGCGCAACTTCTCCTAAATTTCTCAAAGGATTTTGTTCAAACTTTAACAGAAGCTTTGTCATCAAGTGTCCTGATGCATACTGTTGGGGTTTTGTGATTGGATAATTTTTGACCTAATTATGGCCCTTTGTGTTTTTTCCTTATACAGAATATATAGTGAACAATTTCTTCTGTGCGCAACTCCTCCTACATTTCTCAACGGATTTTGACCAAACTTTCACAGAAGCTTTGTCATCAAGTGTCCTGAGGCATACTGTTGGGGTTTTGTGATTGGATAATTTTTGACCTAATTATGGCCCTTTGTTATTTTCCCTTATATACATTAGAGTATATAGTGAACAATTTCTTCTGTTGCCCAACTGCTTCTACATTTCTCAAAGGATTTTGTTCAAATTTTCACAGATTAGCTTTATCTTCAAGTGCCCTGCTGTGTATTGTCAGGGTTTTATGATTGGATAAGTTTTTACCTTTTACCTTATTATGGCCCTTTGTTTTTCCATAAAATTTAATTATTAGTGTAATATATCCTATTAATCACAACAAACTTTATTTAGTTATAAAACAGAAACTTAATAATCTAGGTTGTTGCATGCCTGCCAGCTCATCTGCCTGCTTTTGGGTCCTGTAGAGTCAAGGTCAAGGTCATTGGTGCTAAAAATAGAAAATCTGTTTCCAGTCAGGTCACTGTTACTAAAAATAGAAAATAGGTTTCCAGTCAATAACTTGTTTGGAATAAGATATTTTTATGAAATTTGTGGTAAAGCAAGTTTTTATGAAGACCTCACTTGGGATGGCTTTTTGGCCTCCTAGGGTCAAGGTTACAGTTACTAAAAATAGAAAATTCATTAATCATGATTTATATTGCACATAGTTACATTGTTTGTTGCTTGTATTTGTATTTCAACTACAACATATTTATCTACAATGGTGATAATTGAAAACCTGGTTTCATGGCATTGCCATGTTTTTTGTTCTATTTTGTGATCATGATTTCTGCAAGCATTTAGAGGTACTGCTCCAACACTGTAGTAAATTAAATCCCAGATTAAAATTAATTATGACAATTGAATTAGACTTTTTTTAACAGCGGGTTTGTATTGATTTTTGGGGAGGCTATGCCGACCCAATGTTAATAACTGTTCGTCAAATCTTACTGCCGCGGTAATCAGGTCAAAAAATAGTACCTTGATCTTTTCTAAGCTGACACATCAGTCATCACAGACATTTACAATATGAAAATATTTTCATTCTTAAAAATCATATCTGCAATTTGTAAAGATAATAATTCTCTGAAAAATTCTTGATTTTTGTTTAAATCACTACTCCGTGACGTCATACTGCCGCGGTAATCAGGTTTGGCATAGTACGTACGTCTGTAATAAATAGTTCTGGTATGAAAACCCTTCAAAATAATAACTTTATCAATATTTTTTTAACAAAAAGCATAAATGAAAATTTGTAAGTAAATGCTTTAATTCAGTGGCAAATATTCTTTATTATTCTTGATAACAATTTTCCAATTACTACGCAGCGACCAACTGTTTATGACGGGTCATTAACTAGAACGTTCCAACACCGTATTCTCCATTGTGTACACCTTACTGACGATATTTGAGACCGGTGTATATACAATGCCGTATTCTCAATATCATGCATGTTCTTTTGTTGTTATAAACCATTAAAAGTCCTTAATATTTTTAAAGACAAATAATTGTAAACTGTCGCTTACATCAGAGACATGGATCATGCTTGCGTGATAACTAAGGAAAACTAACTTATTAGTACACCCCAGGAGGCTGTACGCGGAAAACGGTCATAAACGCTATATCATAGCTGTTAGTAAATATTTTGCATACATTTAACTAAAAATTCACTGATGGTGATGAGCATATAGTTTGAAACATTATATTCTTGAACCATTATCGCCGAAAAAAAACTATTTAACTACAAAACCCCTATAAGGACCTTCCGACAAAATTCCAGCACAATATTACATTTTACATTAGCAAAATAAAAAAAGCAATACTTATATTTTCATCTTACATAATTCATTAATCAAACTTTTAACATAAAAGTATATTTGGCAATTGACAGATCCCTACTCTGATCTTTTATTTGTATAGGAATAAATTTAAACATGTGCTCTTTTGTTTAGGAATATTTTGTAGTGAAAGTCTTATATATTCACTGATCTCATAATTAGAATTAGACAGGTCAGGGATTTATACAACCAGTTGTTTACTTAACTATGCTCATTTTAATCCCAATAGAAACGTTCAAATATTTGGGGTAAAAAACATGACCAAAGTACCTAGTAGTCGTTTACCCGGTGGTGATCCCATTAAACTGATTATAGATTCGAATTGATTAGAAAACACAAATAGAAACATGTGTTTCCGTACAACAAAAATCGGAAGTAAAGTGAACAGTTAATTGACAGAAATATGTGGTCAAATATGTTTTAACAAAGAAATAATTATTTCAGAGAAAGACGCAAAGATCAGTATGACCCCGTATTGTGTAATTAGAAAGTTTATTCAATTCTAGGGCATACATCATAATTTGATAGTCCATGTGTAATAAAATTCAAATTTTCAATACAGATTATGAGATACATAAAAAATATTAAAGAATAAGAAGCTTTAATTAAAAAACAAAAACAAAAACAAAAAAAAACCGCATACATATACAAATTACTTACAGTCGAGCATCGGGAAGTCATTAACATATCTTACGAAACTTTAATTTGAAAACGATATTTGCGCGCGCTGAAGTGATTAATGTTTTTTTGAAAAATAAAAAAAAGAACTTTTATGTTTGTGTTCTAAAAATAATCGGCGGCATAAGAGGAATTTCTTATTCATTTTACAACACTTGAAAAATTACTACAGAAAATGTGTTGTTGTTTTTTTGTTTTGTTTTCAACAAAAATGAGTGTGTTTTAAGTTTATTTATACTCGGCGCCGGAATAACCATATGTCCGAGATTATAGCATCTGGGACGTCTTTTTCAAGCAGATTCTTCCTGGAAGCCCATTCTTCGTTCTTTGGTGGTAAAGGAGACGACAATACCGTCAAGGCATCAACTTTCTGACTGACGACAACAAAAACGGCATCTATTAGCGCCAAACCTCCAGAGTAAGTCACGACAGGTCAACCAATCACCTCTGGTACTTATGATGACTTGACTATGTCCTTCCGTGTGCCTTCTCCGCGACGTGCACGCCTCTGGAGGAAATTGGAGAAGTTTCAACAAAAAACTTCCAAAACACGCCATTTATAACATCATTCATAGCACTGACGGCTTCGATGTTCTCATCTATTTGCGGGAAATGGTCGACAGGGAAAACCCTACGTAATAACCGCACACCCTGTTAACAACAGATTTTCCGCAGTATATATTTCAAGCTAGTGAGGTTTAAAAATACACAAGCTATCGATTAACTACCATTAGTTGGTTGAGTGTTGGCGGTAAAAAAAGAAGATATAACTTCCTGATCAATTTTCACTTAGGTTGATTCAGTTTTGAATAAGCTTTGCAGATATGTATTTTTTCAAGAAATATTTAGCTTTAATAATATCCGACGCCGTCAGTAATGAAATGGGAATAATTTTCTGAAACGTGATTTTATTTGAGATTTGCTTCTTGAGAAGACAACCTTCTGTCCGTAGAGCATGAATATTAATACTCATCACAAGACAGTATCTTATTGATCTCAATTATGGTACATCTAAACGTGTATAATTTTTATGTTCAATAAAAATGTTGCATCACTTGCAGTTGTTATTATCATTCAATAATATTAAAATGACATAAAGTATTTATGATGAACAGTCCTAGAATATTTTGACAAAGGAACTTGAAATTCTATCAAATAATCAATATTAATTATAATATCCAAATATACCCCCTATATACTATAAAAAATTTTTATAGTATATAATGGGTATATTTGGATATTATAATTAATATTGGTTATTTGATAGAATTTCAAGTTCCTGTGTTTGTGTTTTTTTATAGTATATAGGGGTATATTTGGATATTATAATTAATATTGGTTATTTGATAGAATTTCAAGTTCCTGTGTTTTGTGTTTTTTTATAGTATATAGGGGGTATATTTGGATATTATAATTAATATTGGTTATTTGATAGAATTTCAAGTTCCTGTGATTTTGATAAGGAACCGTCAGTTGTAAAATGTTATTGTTTAAGAAATAATATATCCCAAACAGTGATTTTATCGCTCAATAACATCACTGTTTGGAGTTCGGATGCGAGGAATTATATCACGAGGGCGTAGCCCGAGTGATATAATGATGCGCATCCGAACGACAAACAGTGATGTTATCAAGCGATAAAATCACCGATTTGGATATATTATTTCGATTCTAACACGACATCAACAAATAAATGCTGCCGTACCTGATATTAAGCAAAATTGCGCCTGATTTGTTTCCGTACTTATTTTTAGCGCGTCGGATTCTTTGTGGTTACGTCACATGCATAATCATTACGTCACATATCTAAATATAGAACGTCAACTGTGACTCTGTTGCATAATAACACACACTTTCGGTTCTTCTATATTCAATAGTGAAAAATGCGGGTCGTGTTAGAATATCTGATAATGAACAGTTGTCATACTTGCTGGTATGTCATTTATTATTGACAGTTTAGGTTTTTCAAAATTTGTATGATTAACAGTCCGAATGTAGACCTCAATGAAATGTTCTGGAATATTAACAAAATGAATAGTCAACCACATTAACCATATATATGAATGTTTGAACACAACAGTAAGGATAAATAGCGCAATGTGCATATCTTTTTATTTTGGTAGCATATTTTAAGCAAAAAGAAATGACACTATAAGTCTGAAACATTCTCTCATAGCCTCCCCATCAGTACATTCAGTGCTTTGATTTCAGGATGTAAACAGCGGCCTGTTGAAGAAGTTTGCACCACACCATATTGTAAGTGAATGCATGTAATTTGTTTGTTACATCCCAAATTTATATAGAGAATTGAAAGGTTGATGGTTTCACATAAATATTAATGTATGTCTGAAAGGGCATCCGGGGGCGAGTGTTTAAGATCGTTGACTTCAAACCACTTGCCCCTCATCGCTGTGGGTTTGAATCCAGACAGGGACTTTGGATTTTTTCATGGGAGGAAGCTATCCAGCTAGCTTACAGAACGTCAGTGGTTCTACTCAGGTGCCTGTTCATGCCTGAAATAATGCACTGAAGGGCACCTGAGGTCTTCCTCCACCAGTAAATGCATTTTGAGTTTTGTTACGGTCTTCCTTTATTTACAGAAGTATCAAAGATTGTAAAGGTAATTTAAAGATATAAATTGTTCAATTTGATTAATTCAGAATTTATAATTGAATAAAACTTTGAATCTTGTAAAGTCTTATGGATGTTTGTAAGAGACTGGAATATATTCAAATGTAAGTCCTATGTACATGTATAATGTTAAAATTGGATCATAAAATGATTAATTTCTTTTACAGTTGGGTGCAGGAAATGATAATATTAAGGCAAACGTCACATGTGCATGCTACAATTATAATGGTTCAGGTATGTAAACATTTATATATCGAGGGTTGACCACAAAACTGCTGTAGCTTATATAAGATAAAGAAGGCCTTACAACTGTAATGCAGACAAACCTCAATATTAATCCTTGTATTCATTTAGTAATGATAGTAATTTATGGATGTCAAGTGCTTTATGAAATCTTTCACATGGAGAGTGACAGTAAATTGTATGTAAGTGGCATGTCCCCTAAGAAGCTTAATTGGTTTTACCGAGATTCTTGCTTGTCCCTTATCTTTTTAATTACGGTACTCTTTAAACTATTGGCCATAGTCTAGAATATTGAATTTCTACAAATATTGTTCAGAATATATCATTTGCATTTAAATTATAAATAGGGTGGAGCAGTCGTTAAAAAAAAATTAGTCTTTATATTTTATCCTAAACATTTTCTGTTATCTGTTATTGGCCAATCACCATAAAAATAGTCAATCTTTAAAAATATTTAAGTTATTCAGTTCAACTTGACAGTAAGGAAATGAGCATAATGTCACTTTAAACTAACAAATGACTGTTCAAATTTCAAAAATGGGTTAAAAAATTGCGTTCATTGAACTCCGCCTTTCCTTGTTGATCGTGTTTATCATATTTTAGTCTTATTCCTACTCTGGACTCAGAAGGGTCACATTTTAAAGTGATTTTCTTAGCTATCTGTAAAAATCAGCTCCTAAATAACACTACACGTTAAGATCTGATTATCACCAATATGTTCTCTCCTTCGACGCTATTTTGATACTTCGTCTAATGTCTATCTGTAAAGGACAGTTTGATTGCATGGCTCAAAATAGCTTTTACAGGAAATCTGCATCACTATGAAGGCAAAACATATACGGTGGTAATCAGATCTACATGTAAGAAATAAGTAGATATGAACTTAAGTCAGATTGTTTTTCTCAAGTAGATTTTATTACAACAGGTACATGTTTTATTAGCTGATGTTTATGATTTTTTTTTTCCTCGCAGAGATACTTGGTACCTACAACGATGAAGATATTTACCTGTTTAATAACCAAGAACCGGACACGGCTAAATATTTACATAGATACCGAGGTCACAGAAATAACCAGACCGTGAAAGGCGTCAACTTCTACGGCCCGGAGAGCGAGTTTATAGTCAGTGGGAGCGACTGTGGACATATTTTCCTGTGGGATAAGGCCACAGAAAATATTGTACAGTTTATGGAAGGAGACGAGGGCGGAGTTGTAAGTTTGCACAAGTTTCATCAAAGTGTTTCTTGAACATACATTTTGAAATAAGATATATAAGAAATGATATTGCTAAAGTATAGAGGTGTCATCCTGTGCTTGAATTTTTCCATGGAGAGGCACTCTTTTGGTCTTCCTCCTCTAATAAAGTCCCAATATTATTTCTATTGTTTCTTTTTGGCTTTAAAATAACAGTACAGCCTTTTGCTTTCTTGAAGAAATTAATAGGAAATAAGTTTCAGAAATTTTACATATTTTAAATTTATATAATGCCCACATTAAAAAAATCAATACTTTTTTTTGCCCTTTGATTATAAGGGCTAAGAACCTAAGAAGCATATAGGTTTTTAAATGGATTAATATTGAATGGGGTGTGATGGCCTAATGGTTAAAGTGACGCTCAACCCAGGGATCATGGGTTCAAACCCTATTTTGGTCACAACCATATTTCTTCATATGATACCGGTACTGGTTGGTGAAGCAGACTCAAAAGTGATTAATATAAGCTGCAAGAACTCAATTCGCAATCAAGCTTGCATAAATATGTTTAAACTAATATAGAATAATTATCTTACATAAAAAAGGAATATGCATTTTGTCTGGTAAATTTTTTTCAGATAAATGTTTTGGAACCACACCCGTATGCTCCGATTTTAGCAACAAGTGGACTGGATCATGATGTGAAAATCTGGGCACCTACGGCAGAAAATCCAACCAATCTGAAAGGCCTCAAAAAGGTATGTCATTATGATAGTAATATAATAATGTCATATTTTATGTAGGTTTCAATTTAAGAATTTCGTGACCAAGAGGCAAATGTTAATGAACATATATAGTACTTTCCGTTTTCCAACGTAGGTTTGAATCTTAATAGGAATACTATATTCCTTCATGTTAGAAAGTTATCCACCAAAGTGGTAGAAGAAATTTCTTCCCAGGTTCCTGCTTGTGTATAGTATATTGCATTAAGAGGCTGATAGAGTCCCTTTTCTACCTTTCACCATTAAAAGCTTATAAGCCATCATGTAATAATACAAGACAATAAAAACAACAATAAAAAGAACACTTATTATATGACATGAAATACATTGAACTAACAGTTTTCATTGTACTTGTTTTGGGCTTAATTGAATCTGATGATATTCTTTAAGAATTGCATCCTTAGCCTTTTTAGCTCACCTGAGCATGCTCAGGGTGAGCTTTTAGGATCGATGATTGTCCGTCGTCCGTCCGTCGTCCGTTCACATTTTGTTGCTAACACTCTAGCAGTCGCATTTTTGCCTCAATCATCATCAAACTTGGTCAGGATGCTTATCTAGTTGATAGCTCGGATGAGTTCGAACATGGGTCATCTCGGATGAAAAACTAGGTCACAAGAGCTAAAAATAGAAAAACCTTGTTAACACTCTAGAGGTCACATTTTTGCCTCAATCATCATCAAACTTGGTCAGGATGTTTGTCTAGGTGATAGCTTGGATGAGTTCGAACATGGGTCATCTCGGATGAAAAAGAAGGTCACCGGAGCTAAAAATAGAAAAACCTTGTTAACACTCTAGCGGTCACATTTTTGCCTCAATCATCATCAAACTTGGTCAGGATGTTTGTCTAGGTGATAGCTTGGATGAGTTCGAACATTGGTCATCTCGGATGAAAAACTAGGTCACAGGAGCTAAAAATAGAAAAATCTTGTTAACACTCTAGTGGCTACTGTTTTGATCCAAATATCCTGTAAATTGGTCTGAAAGTTGTTTTGATGATTTCTAAGTCAAGTTCGAACATGGGTCATCTTGGATGAAAAACTAGGTCACACCGCCCAAATATGGAAAAACATTGTTAACATTCTAGTGGTCACATTTTCTACTCAATTATCATCAAACTTGGTCAGGATGCTTGTCTAGGTAATTGCTCAGATGAGTTCGAAATCGCATGTGAAACTAGGTCACCGGAGCTAAAAATAGAAAAATCTTGTTAACACTCTAGTTTCTACTGTTTTGATCCAAGTATCCTGGAAATTGGTTTGAAAGTTTGTTTTGATGATTTCTAGGTCAAGTTTGAATATGGGTCACCTGGGTAAAAAACTAGGTCACACTGCTCAAATATGGATAATCCTTGTTAACACTGTAGTGGTCACATTTTTGACTCACCTGTCATGAGACTTGGTCAGAATGCTTGTCTAGGTAATTGTTTAGATGAGTTTGATGGGTCAGGTGAGCGATCTAGGGCCATCATGGCTCTCTTGTTTTTTTGGGGGCGGGGTGGGGGGGAATTAAAAAAACAACCATGAAACATAAATTTAAAAGGCTTAAAGTGAATCAACATGTGTCATAACATGCAAATACTCTTTCTATACTTGCCAAAAATGATTTTCAAGTCTGCATAATTATAGTGGTGTGTCAATATATGCATCTTTCACATTTACTGTTTTATCGTTTTGTTTTTAGATAAGTCCAAGCATTGTTGGGGAACATTAATCATATAAAAATACAAATGTGACTTTTTTGCCACAGAGTTGAGAAGCTTAAAGCCTCTTAGGTGAAAATTTAAGGTGATAATGTGTTGTTTTGTTTGCAGTTAATAAAACGTAACTCCAGAGAACGTGAAGAAGAGCGTACAAATGATGGAGGAATGATTGATGGTTCTATGCTGTGGTTTATTATGCATCACTTAAGACGGGGGCGAAGACAGAGAGCTCGCGAAGCTCGTGCCGCTAGAGGAGAACCATCTCCCGACGTTGAGACGTCAGACACACTCAGCGACGAAGATCTATCGACTGATGACGAGTCTGAAAGTGAAGGGGAAGGCGAACCACGTGATGCAATCTCATGTAACCCATCGTAAAAAGTTAACAATATCGTGTCAAAATCAAAGTGCACGTTTTCTTCTCCACTTTACGATATATATTGATCTGTATAAAATCTTAAACTTTTGGGGGAAAACCATCTTTGCAGATATGTTGACCACATGTGTATCAGTTTTACTGACATTTTCAATAGCAAATAGATACAAGAGCCAATGAATATTGCAAAATAACTATCATTATGTTTAGTCAGAAAATTTCATGTTTAACGTTCATATTGCATTGCGCTAACTTTGAAGTGCTTGCTTAAAGATGAGCTTCATCTCATGAAGGATTGTATGATTAATACATTATGGTTGAATATTTGATCACGATGATATATCTTGCCTGTTTAGTCTATCACTATTTTGTGTTTTTGGTTCTGGGTAAAAACTTGATTCATCATCCCGACTGAATAGTTCTTTCTGCTTAATTCTTTGATGGTATGGACATGCAATTAACATGTAAATGTTTGTTTTTTGGCTATGTAGTTTATTGTTTTATACTGTGACTGGTATTGACATACTTATATGTTTAAGGTATAGAGTTAACATGTTATTTAACCAAACATACTTTGTTTTTGTATATATAAAATAGATGATGTATATAATATTTTGATAACATTTTGATTCATGTTACTTAATTGTATGTGCACAAGTTAAAAAAAACAGAATAAATGACAGATTTTTTGTTGATTGCTGAGCTGAATTGCTACTGTCAGATTCATAAATCTTTTTTATTCTGAATTTTGAAATAAGCAGAAAGGGGTTGCATGTGTCAACTGATTGGACTATACCTCAAAACAAGTTATCAAGTTTGATTTATTCTGGTGGCTGACAGTAATTCAGATAAGTGTTCAGTAAGGTGGTTGCTTTGATACTGTTTGAGAATTGGTACTATTTTTAGAAGAATGGGTACTATTTTTAGAAGAATTGATAATGTATTTAGAAAAATTGGTACAATTTTGAGAAGTTCTAGCCGAGACTGAATGCTGTGAAACAAATATTATATCTTCTATGGTCGTGATTGGGAGGTTTTATTATATATCTTGTTTGTCCTTGGAACTTAACATAGTTATTAATGTAGGCCTAATTGTTCAGGTGTCCGCATTTGAACCGCGTCATGATAAAACCAACATAATGGGTTTGCGACCAGCATGGATCCAACCCAGCCTGCGCATCCGCACAGTCTGATCAGGATCCAAGCTGTTCGCTATCAGTTTCTCTACTTGTTATAGGGTTTGTAAAAACGGGATGCGAACAGCATGGATCCTGATCAGACTGCGCGGATGCGCAGGCTGGTCTGGATCCATGCTGGTCGCAAACCCATTATGTTGGTTTTGTCATGGCGTGTCTGCATTTTAACCCAGTCTGAGAGTTGTGAGACCTTGTGGGTTCATCGTCATGTTTCCTTAGTGAAATCTAACATGATTTGTTATAGGAAGCAGACCCCGGCAACAGTTCAAATAAGTTTCAAGCTTTTAATAACAAATAAAACATAAATAAAATGTTTAATGAAAATTAAAACAAAAACCTTCCCTTAGTAGCTAAAAAACAGAATAGAATGAAGTCCTTGTTATAGCTGTACTTGAGTACCAATTGTGAAGTGAATTGAAAAAAAAAAGATTTTTTTTTTTATCATTTCATTTTGGTTGAAAAGTACAAAAGAAACGCAAATGAATTCAGTAAACCATTTGTCAATTGCAAACATGAAAATAAACCCTGCTTTTAGTTAAACTTATTATTCAAAGAAGCGACACACTTATGTGATTTAATATTTCAGCGTTCTTTAACCTAAAAGTCATGGGTTTTTGAGCCTCACAAATGGGGTCACAAAATGGGTCTCCTAGCATATCAGTATAACTGGTTAGTCCAGGAAATCTATTTAAGAGTTAATTCAGTTAAATTCAAATGATTAAATTGTAATTGAATGATCGCTGGAATGATAACATATTCTATTTGTTGTCTGAATTATAATGCAAGATTCTTTCATGCATTAAAATTTTACTACCAGTTATGAAAAGTAAGTTACTTTCCTGGTAAAGCGAAGCCAGGTTTGTTGATTATATAAACAGCTGTTGACAGATGGTTTATTTTAAAATCAAATTAAAGGGGTGATAAGCTGGGTGCACAAGTTTGGAGATTTTTTATCATTATGATCCAGTCCACTTGCTAAGGGGAGATTTGTGTTATTTTTTTAAATTAAATTTTTGAGAATTCTTTTCCTTTAGTAAGTATATAACTTCAATGATTCAATCTGGATTTGAGTTGGGAAGCAGGCCTGTAGCCTTCTACATTTTAAAACTGTAGTTAAAAATGCTTTTATGACACCAAAAGATTTGGAATGTTTCAGGTTTTGACCTATCGTAGTAATATTTCATATTCTTGGATATTTTGATATCTCCCAATTTGACAAAGGTTTATATTAGGACAATTATTTCATCTCTAAAAGCAACAATTTGATAGACTGGCTTTGAATTATTGTCTGAAATCTGACCAATGAGAAGTCTGCATTCAGAATCAATAAACCATGTACATAAAGATAACAAAAAAATCTGTCTTGATGTATTTATATGCAAAAACCTTTTTTTTTTCTGTTGATGAATCGTTGTTTTCTTTTACATAATTTTGTACATAATTTTGCCTTTTTGTTTAATAGTTGTTTACAAATGTCCTTGCAATCATTGTATGAACTGATTGATTTTGGTTCAGCCGTATTTGATTCAAAATTCATCAGTATCAATTTTTGTTTATAAAGTTCACTGAGCTGTAATTTTATTGACTATGAATTAATAAGTACTATACTAAAGTTTACTTAATTAGATAATTGAATTAATTATTATTGTTGTTACTGAAATAACTTATCTATTGTATATTATATATATGAATGGTTTGATCTCATTTGTAAATATAAACATGTTATACATGAATGTTGTAATCATGTCAAAATATGCATGTGTTTTTTTTTTCATTCTTTCTTTTTTTTGTCTCATATTTTTGCTTGAGAATTTGTCTGAATAATATGTTAAATTGCCATAAATATTTAATTGACTTGTTATATAAAATTTTGTCATATGTGTATTTACTTTTACTTCATTACAGTATGTCTTGAATGTTGAATTTGAAGTGTTTTTGTGACCCATATGCATACCAATATGAGAAAGAACAATTGAAAATATGGTCATAGATTTGTATCGTATAAGTAGATTGATTAAGGCATGATCACAGATTTGTATCCTATGAAAAAAATGATTTAAGACATCATAAGATTTGCATCATCCCATGAGTAAATATGGTCAAATATATGTATCCTATGAGTAGACTGATTAAGACATGATCATAGATTTGTATCCTATGAGTAAACTAAGTATGATCATATCCTTTGATTGAAATGATTAAATTATGATCATAGATTTGTATACTATGAGGGAAATTATTAAAGTGACATTATGCTCATATTTTCATAGTCAAGTTGAGCTGAATTGACTTTATATTTCTAAAGATTGACTGTCAAAATGGTGTTTGACCAACAGTTGATATTGGAAAATGTTTAGGATAAAAATATTAATCTGCCTTAATTTTAAAAAGACTGCCCCACTCTTTTTATAAACTAAGCGTTATACGTAAATTCTAACGGATATTTACAGAAATTTCATTTGGATTTGTGTGTTATCTATTGTTTATGTGAACTTAATTATTAAATTAAAAAGGATTATGGCAAAATGAAAACATATTTTGATCTTCACCCGTTCACTCACTGTATACCCCTGGATGGGCATAATGTAACTTTAAATCATGAGGATAGATTTGTATCCTATGAGGGAAATGATTAAATCATGATGATAGATTTGTATACTATGAGGGAAATGATTAAATCATGATGATAGATTTGTATCCTATGAGGGAAATGATTAAATCATGATGATAGATTTGTATACTATGAGGGAAATGATTAAATCATGAGGATAGATTTGTATCCTATGATGGAAATGATTAAATCACAAGATCATAGATTTATATCCTATGAGTGAAATGATTAAATCATGATGATAGATTTATATCCTATGAGTGAAATGATTAAATCATGGTGATAAATTTATATCATATGAGGGAAATGATTGTAGAAATCATATTTGATTTGCATCCGATGAGTAAATACGGTTAAAGATATGTATCCTATTAGGAAACTGATTTTCATGATCATAGATATGTATCCAATGAGTGAAATGATTTCAGACATGATGATGGATAATTACCCTATGAGAAACAATATTAGATTTGCACCCGATAAGTAAACTGAATTTAGACTTTGATCCTGTGGTAAACTGATTTAGGAAATCAAAGATTTTTGTCCTATGAGTAAACTGATTAAAGACATTAGCATATTTTTTATCCTATGAGTTAGGTAACAGATGTAAAATGTCTTTGTAAGTATGCATTTTACAAGAAACCCGATTTAAGGCACAGTCATGGATGTTTATAAGCTTTTTTGTTCTAGTTTATTTCATGATTTTTTTCTCTCCCTTGATAGTTGCAATGTGTTGTTGTTAATGTGACTTGTGTTCAAACTGGCTCATGATGTTTTATTGATGTTACAGCATAACATAACAAATGGTCACATCTAAGACAGGGGGAAGTTAGCTCTGAAACTGGAATGCTATAAAATATATCAGAGAAAGTTTTGACTCTGAAACTGGAATACTGTAACATATGGGTGGAAGTTTTAACTCCGGAATACTATAAAATATGAGAGAAAGTTAACACAGAACTGGAATATACTATTAAAGTACTGGAGGAAGTTTACTCTGAAAATGGAATACTATACAATGTTGGAGAGCTTTAACTCTGAAACTGGAATACTATAAGATAATAATACACTTTTTTTCAGTTTCACAGTTTTCAATCAATGAATTTATTGTTCTGCATGTATCCATGTCAAACACTTCCTCCGGAATGTAAATGAGCAGTCTTAAGTATGCTATAATTATATAAAAGATAAATTAAGTTGTATGTAATCCTTGAAATTTGAGGTACATCCTGAATTTAGAAAAGAGCTTTATTTCTGTTTGGAGTGAGTAATGTGAAAATAGAAACTGAGTGTTACATGTAACACTATACAACTTAGTTGCACATTGATGACCCTTACAATTCTGAATTTATGTTATTGACCTGCCCTGATAGTCGAAAGTAATTTGTACAGTCTGACCAGGGTCTACTGACACTAAATCTTTATTTAGACTGGTTTAGACTGGACAGTTTCAAATCCAGAAGGTTAAAGTTTTAATTATTGAACTAAAGTTGTAATTACTGAACAGGTGATATTTTTGAAAAACATTGAATTGATTTAGTTGGTATTTTGTTGTATAGACATGATGTAAATAATGTTAAACAAAATTAAGTTGAAGTTTTGACAATGTTCAAAGAACAAAAAGTAAAATATATTTACCAAAAATAAATGTTTTAGTGTTGTTATTGATTCAGCTTAAGAGTTTTGTCTGTTTCACACACCATTTTGTCTGCCTGTCCGGTAACAAGTCAACCTAGCCCTTGTCGGTCCAAACCTCGGGCTCATCACATTGGGTTAGATACTGTTATAATTTTTAAAGGACATTTGTGCTGTAAATCCCCAATCCAATAATGGACAATGACAAGTAGACCTCAAGCCATCAGCACCCAATTGTA